TACAATTCAAGATGACATCTGAGTGAGGAGACAGCCAAATGGTATCAGCAGACTTTACAGAGTTACTGTAGCAGGAACATTAGCCCAACACAAAACCCAGATCAATGTGGTTAGCAAAGAGCAGACAAATTATTCAGCTTTGTTTTAGGATGTTTTCCCCCAGGAGGATTTTAGCCAGTTCGACAGAAGCATTTTAAAATTATACTACGGGTAATACATGGAAGTTTTGTGTAGCCATAATCTGTTAGGGAAGGATTTTACCAATTTTGTTGTACATCTTTACATGCATGAGGAAACGGGGGCAGGCTCAGGGAAGACTTACGAATTTGCCTAGATTCACAAAGTTATTTAGCTGTACAGTTAGAATCTTGTAAAGTGAATCCCAAAATTTCAGGAGAAAGCTTTCTTCATAGCCTCAGTACAGGCTGAAATAACTCAAACTTTTGAGTTACCAGATTGTGAGTACATTTGTGCCTGAAAAGGTGAGAAAAAGGCTGGTTCACAAAGCTTTTCTAATAGGTAGAAAGTACATGTCTAAGTTTTTTCAAAAGTTGCACAAGTAGCCACACCTGAAGCTTTGAAAAGGGATATAAAAAGAATGGATAGCCGCCCCCACCCCCCGCACCCACAAAGTATCCTTCCACATTTTGTGTTTATATACACATGTGGAGATTGTTTAAAAACTCAAATTATCCCTCAGCATCTCATTTTTTACTATCATCCTGTGCTTTAAGTAGATATAATTGATTCGTTTTAACAGCTACATCATGTTACATTGTTACTATAGAACATTTTAATTTGCCATTAATTTCTGAATAATCGTTTCTAGTTATTTTGTATGGAATACACCTACGTACCCACAGTACAGAGCTTCAGATATAACAGCATTTATGTGCACATGTATTTATATATATTATATCCTTGGTATTAACTTTTTTCTGGGTAGACCAGTATTTCAAAACTGGGTTTAAGATGAGTGTTAATTTTAGAAGGTTTGTAGCGGCTTTCTACCATATTCTCACGAGCACTGAATGTTGTCACTAAAATTTGTTTCTGGTATCATTGAGGAACATGGTTAATACATGCATACCTCATTTTACGTGCTTAACATTATTTTCCAGATACTGTGTTTTGGGGGTTCTTACAAATTCAGGGTTTATGGCAATCCTTCCTGGAGAGGGCCATTTTCCCCAACAGCATGTGCTCACTTCATGTCTGTCACATTTTGATAATTCTCATAAAAGTGAGTCATCAGTTCTTTGATGTTACCACTGTAATTGTCCTGGGGCTCATAAAACGTGCCCATACAAGCCGGCAAACTTAATAAATGTGTATTCTGACTGCTGTCCAACTGGCCGTTCCCCCCATCGCTCCCCTCCTTCAGGCTTTTCAGTTTCCAGAGACACCACAATATCAAAATTATCCCAATGAATAACTCTCCAATGGCCTCTAAGTGTTCAAATGAAAGGAAGAGTCATATGGCTGTCGCTTCAAAAAAAAAAAAAAAAAAAAAAAACCAGAAATGGTTAAGCTTAGTGAGGATGGCATGTCCAAAAACCAAGATAGACAAAGTTAGGCCTCATGCGCCAAACAGCCAAATTATAAATGCAAAGGAGAAGCTCTTGAAAGAAATTAGAGGTTCTACTTCAGTGAACACATGAAGAAAGCCAACCAACCTTATTGCTGATATGAAGGTTTTAGAGTTCTAGATAGAAGATCCAACCAGCCGTGACACGGCCTTGAGCCAAAGCCTCATCTAGAGCAAGGCCCTAACTTTCTCCGATTCTATGAAGGCTGAGAGGTGAGGAAGATGCAGAAAGTTGAAAGCTAGCAGAGGTTGGTTCGTGAGTTTTGAGAAGTCGTCTCCATAACATCAAAGTACAAGGTGACTCAGCAAATGCTGATGGAGAAACTGCAGCAAAATTATCCAAAAGATCTTGCTAAGATCACTGAAGAATGTGGCTACATCAAATGGGTTTTTAATGTAGGCAAATCAGTCTTATATTGGAAGAACATGCCATCTAGGAGGTTTTTAATGGCCAGAGGGAAGTCAATGCTTGTCTTCAAAGACAGGCTGAATCTATTGTTAGCAACTAATGCTTCTGGTGCTTTAGGTGGAAGTCAATTCTCATCTACCATTCTGAAAGTTCTGAGACCTTTCAGATTTATGCTAAAGTTACTCTGCCTGTGGTCTAAGTGGAAGCACAAGGCCTGTGACAGCACACCACTTTATAGCATGGTTCACTGAATATTTGAAGCCCACTGTTTAGACTTGAGACTTACTGCTCAGAAAAAAATGTTTTCAAAATGTTACTGCTCATTGACAATGCAGTCACCCCAGAGCGCCGATTAATATCGTTTCCATGCTTGCTAACACAGCGTTCGTTTTACAGCCCATGAATCAAGGAGTTATTTTGACTTTCAGATCTTGTTTAAGAAATACATTTTGTAAGGCTATAGCTGTGATAAAAGTGATTCCTCTGATGGATCCGAGAAAAGTAAATGGACAACTTTCTGGAAAGGGTTTACCCTTTTAGACACCATTGAAGATACCGATGATTCGCAGGTGGTCAAAATACCAACATTAATGGGGTATGGAAGAAGTTAATTCCAACTCTCATGGTTGACTTTGAGAGTATAAGACTTTAGGGAAGGAGGTCACTGAAGATGTGAGAGGAGCAAGAGAACTAGAATCAGAAATGAAGCCTGAAGATGTGAGTGAATTGCTGCAGTCTCATGATCAAACTTGAATGGATGAGGAGCTGCTTCCTATGGATGAGCAAAGAAAGTGGTTTTGTAAGAAATCTACTGAGGATGTTGTGAATGTTGAAAAAAACCGATGTAGAGTATTACCTGAACTTCACTGGCAAAGCAGCAGCAGGGTTTGAAAGGATCGACTCCACTTTTGAGTGTTGTTTTGGGTAAAATGTTTCACAGCATTGCCTGCTACAAAAACATCTTTTGGGAAGAGTCAAGCGATGTGGCAAAGTTCACTGTTGTCTTATTTTAAAACGGTCACAGCCACCTCAACCTTCAGCACTTTGATCAATCAGCAACCATCAACATCAAGACCTTCTAGCAGCAAAACGATTACAACTCACCGACATCTCAGATAATCCTTAGCACTTTTTAGCAATGAGATATTTTTAATCACAGCATGGGCATTATGTTTTAGATATGCCATTGCACACTCAATAGGCTACAGTATACAGTAAGTACAACCTTTATGTGCACTGAGGAACCCCTAAAATTGTGCGACTCCCTTTCCTGCAACATTCACTTTATTGTAGTGTTCTGGAACCGAACCTATAGTACCCCCAAGGGACGCCCATATGGTTTTAATTTGCACTTCAATTGTCACCGATTTTGAACACTTTCTGGTGTGTACTGAGGAATGGAATGGTTTATGAAACTAGGAAGTGATAAAAGGTTTAAAAATTGCATAGCTACATAACGTCTTCTGAAAGTGTTGAGAATGATGTTCAATGCTTTGAACGTGTGCCCATGTGTATACTCAACATTACTCAGATTCCCATCTTACTAGTTAATACTGAGTTTATATATTTCAAAGACAACTGTATACAAGCATCCACATTTAACCTAATATAAAAAGCTATATAAATGTGGAAAAAACACCTTACAAACTAGTGTATTCCATATTCAACATTATAGAATGGCCTTCCTAAAATGCTGTTAACAGTTTTCATAGTCGGTATTTTTTCATGTTTTAATTTTTTTAAAAAACCATTTCAGATGGGAAAAGATTATATTTAGTTTTACAGGTAGGAGACTTGAGGCCCAAAAGGAACATGTTTTTATCTTTAAATATTTGTTGACTATATGATTTAGTGACATGATCATTGCATCATAATTCCACTACTAGAATGTAGTTTTCAAAGGCAGTCCTTATGTTCGGTGTGTTTTTGGTTTTTATGTACAAGTATCCTAATAAATGCTCTGACAGACATCTCTGTCAGCATGTCTTATTTCCTTAGATTTGATTCCTAAATTTTAAATATTCACAACAGTTTACCCAGTATTTCGAGACTCGTGAATCACTAGTTTAAGGCCAACCATCTTTACTTTTTTCTACAGACAAAAGCCAAGCCTAGAAAAGATGAGTCAATGTTATTATATAGAGCACCATGTTCTCAATGTTATTTTAGTCTCTTCTCACTCATATACCATATCTCATCTATATTCTTTACTTGGGGTAAAGAATCACACCTGACATTCACATTGACTTTATAGATATTCTATCAATGGCTACAGCTCACTATTTTCCCTCAAGCTATTTTTCATTGTATTAAGTTTTGGGGTACAGACGCAGGATGTGCAGGTTACGTAAACATGTGCCATGGCGGTTTGCTGCACCTGTCAACCCATCACCTAGGCATAAAGCCCTGCATGCATTAGCTCTTTTCCCTAATGCTCTTCCCTCATCCTCCCATGACAGGCTCAAGTGCGTGTCCATGTGTTGTCATTGTTCAGCTTCCACTTATAAGTGAGAACATGCAGCGTTTGGTTTTCTGGTCCTGCATTAGTTTGCTGAGGATAATCGGCCCACTTATTTTTAGCATGGTACTCATCAGCCCCCTCTTCTATGCTGGCCTAAGATTACATTGATCTTCCTTGATCTTAACACACACACTTTACCCTGTGCCAGCTATTTAATGTAAGTTTCTATGTTAGATCCCCCATTTAGAATGAGTGTAAGACCCACATGCTCAGAGATATCCAACCTGCTTTGTTTGGCTTTTCACGCTGGGTTAAAGTCTATGCTAACATGTGACAGATCTCTCAAAAAGATGCATCCTTTTACTCCGGCCAAGGAAATTACATTAAGTTCGGAGTATTTATCCATAGCTCTGCCTACACCTTGACTGTTACCTGTATCTTTCTTATATCCAAGCCCTGTCTGAATCAGGTTTGCCATACATCAGTCATACTCATGACATTTTTACGTTGTAGATTATAAATGTTCTGGCTTTTAATTTTAGGTACCTAGTAGATGAAATCAAGAAGAGAGAAGGATTCAAGTTACTGATGGAAGTAAGTGATTGCATAACTGCTTGTGATTTTATCAGTTGACAGTGATGCAGGTGGTAATTTTCGTTATATTTCATTGGTTTTTGTGTTGTATAGACTTAAAAACAAGTAATTAGCTTAATTCATAGAGTCCATTATGTTAATTTACTATATTAGCGAGTACTTTTCCTTTGTGGGATTCAGAGAATATACTTGCCTTTAAGTATTGAAAGCTAAAATGCTCAATAATTACCAAGGATAATATTGAATAAATTATGACCTCTATCTTGATATGTAAATTGCATAGTGATTGTACTGCAAATATTCATCTGTGAGGTAGTGGTTGCCTGCATGTGAAAATCAATTAAGTGAATTCTCTGGAAAAAAATTATGTAAAATACAAGCTATAGAGGCAAAGAGACAGGAAACAAATATATCTGCGTGACAATTCAAAAACATGTTCTTTTCAACTCTTAATTTTGGAAGTGAACAAAGTGAAGAGATTCCAGATGAAGCATCAAATTTCTTCCAATGAAAGGAAGTGTCGGAAGGGCTTTATAAGCTTTGCAATGTAGCACTGAAGCCATTCCTTTCTAATGTGTTTGGGCAAAAGAAATCACAGATCTAGGTCGAAGTCCTAACTTGTAAAATAGAGCCTAAAACAGATAAAACAGCATCAACTCTTATAACGTTCCTATGCAAATGAAAGAGAATAACAAATTTGGTGATATGTTAGGAGTCCATTCAGAAGACAAGAACTGCATGGTAATTTAAAGTGGGAAAGTGTAATATCAAGAATTAACAAGGGATTGAAGTAATGCAGGATTGCCTCATAGAGAGAATGAAAACCCTAAAAATACACAGCAGCAGCAGATAGAGCAGCCACCACTCCTGGAACTGAAATAGAACGCCCAAGGAAGAAGCCATCCTTTCCCAGGGCTGAGGTCTAGACCTCAGGGTATAACCTTGGCTCACAGAATAGCAGAAAAGTATACCGGGCTGTTGCATTGGTGGTACTCACTAGAAATCTAGTCTTGAGTGCTGAGCTGAGGGAAGCCAACCAGAGAGTCAGAAAAGTCATCCAACACAAGGTGCCTAGCTAGCATCTCTTCTATGAAACTATCGGAGGGGACTATGCCAGGAAAAGCCATTTATGGGACCTCCACTTGCTGCCTGTCAACTGTGAGGTCACCTGAAAGGGGTGTGCTAGGGGAAGCTGCTGAGGTTGGCAGGTGGGGGTCTGCTCATGTTTCTTTTCACCAGTGCTGAAGATAGTAGGAAACCCGTGAGGTAGGCATACCACACCAGAAAGACATTCCCTCCTTTTCCACTATCCCTCCAGCACCCTCTGCTGACAAAGTCTAAGACTGGACCAGATATCAAGGAAGAAATATCGGCAGAGTCCACCTACATTATTTTAGGATACCCAAAAAGGGTAGATTTGTAGCTGAGAGGCAATAAATTGATAACTGACATAACACAATCTAGTGACAGATAATTACTATCTTTTTCTTCTACTTCTAGTCAGGTATAGTAACTTCATTTGAGAAGTGTTCACATTAAATGGTCAAAGAATTTGCAAGTTCAGTAGTCTATCCTAGAGAAATCAAATCAATTAGGTTGGTGCAAAAGTCATTGCAGTTTTTGCCATTGCTTTCAATAAATCAAACCAAGTATCAATTGTGTAGATTTGTAAGAAGGATCGTCATCTTATGATAAATGTTTGCAAAAATTGAGTTACAGTACTTTTAACTACTCTTGAAGATTTGTAGCTCTTTTCTTGTCAATTCCGATAAGAATGTTAATTTCAGAGATGAAAGGATAAGATCAAGAACTTATCTCGCTGAACTGGAAATGTTTCTGGGCATTCACTTATGATTTAGAAAGCACTAAAATCACAACTGTATCACCAGTTTTTATTTTAAGGTAAAATAGGTCTTTCCTCTTTATGAAATACTGTGAAACTATATACTGGAGCCTAATTCTGACGGTTGAAAACTGTCATAACATTGGGTATTAAACTGTTTACAGCAGAAAACGAGTATCAGTTCAAATACCGTCAGTGTGAGGCATCGAATGAGGAAGGCGGGTATGACCATCCTGAATACAATTCTAATTTGTGAACTTCCAACATAATGGCCCAAATCTCCTAGTCACTGAGTACCAGGCTTCTGATCATAGCACTGTTTTCTCATCCAGTGAGGACAAAGACTTGTCTGTGTGACAAAGGCTGGGCTAAAGCCTGTTAGAATGCGATCCCATGTTTAAGCAAATCATGTCTGATAGAAAAACAGATTGGCAGGCAAGCTGACTGGGTTATGATCTCTGTATAGATGAGTTTCTCATACAACATACACTTTCGACTTCAGAATCACTTGACATACTTCATAAAATGCCAATTCTTTAACCTTCTCTAGGATGGACTTAATCAGACACCGGATGTTCTGAACACAAACTCAATCTTACGCCTATTTTGAATAGGTGTCCCAGCTAATTCACTTTTACTGATATTTGAGAGCCAAGAGTCAAGGTGATGTTCTTTCAGAAGCAGTGTTGGGTAGGGTCATAGTGCTGGGTGGTGAAACCCAGCTTGTCACGCTGCTATCAAGTCACAGGTAATCAGGGCTTTTGCAATCGTCAGGTATAGAAACCAATTTTGGCTGCCTCAAAAAGTAATTATTGGAAGCCTATGTTGCTATAGCAAATAACTTAAGGATCACCGTTGACAGAGGATCCAGACCTCTGAGCATGTGTGTAAGCAGGCACTAACTGATGATCAGAGCTGGGTCGAGTCCGCTTCAGACTTTACTGTTTTCTTCCGGATCTTTGCACATTTTTGTCAAGATGTAAGAACCCTCTAGGTGCACACTATGGAGAAGAAAAGTTTTCAATAGGATGTAATCAGAAGTAAGGCAGAAGGGATTGTTACTCCCAGATTGATTTGTCAAAGTTTTACACACATGGTAACTCAAACAAGCTAAGAGTTTTAGAAGTATTTAACGGCATTCTAAGATAAACCTTAGGATAACACAAGTATTAAATTTTGTCTAATTCTAGCCTGAATATGCCAACATTTGCTTTTGGTACATTCCACCGAGCCTCAGAGAGATGGAAGAAGGACCTGAGTACTGGGCAAAACTTAATTTGGTAAGTAAATGCATTTTTTTTGATGAGTTTGATTCAGTGCACGTCAGCGGTTGATCCTGTAAATAACTCTGGGCTTGCTAGGCCTTATCTAGAGAAGTGTCTTCCAGTGCTTTCAAAAGTAATGACAGGCCAAACAGTTGTAGACATTAACAAGTTAACATGGTTGACACACACTCACACAAAGACAATTACGTTGTTTGTGAGATTATAGAATTTGTTACAAGTTCTGGCTCATGGTGCATTTCAGGAATTGCCGTCTGATCAAAGTTAAAGTTGTGTGATGACTACTGATTTCAACTCTGCAACTGCATCTGTGACCGTTATGTCACTTTACTTGAAAATAATGTTAAAAGTCTAAATCCGATACCCTTTGAGCGTGAGACCTTCTGTCTTCACTAAAGGCCGATTGTCTTACACCCAGGGAGATTAAGAAATGCCAAGCAATGGGTTTGCAGCTGATCAACACGATGTGCCTGAAAGGGTCTTCACACACAGCTGTTGGGACTGACGATACAGGGTGAGGAGAGTCCCCAGGCTCCAGGCTCTGCTTGTCTCATCTACACTTCACCTAGCATGGCCCTGCCAGTTATAATCTTGCCTCTAACCCAGATTTCCAAGAACTATGGAGTCTCATGAGTAACACTACTTCATCCCACTTTCTGGCTCTATGAACCTAATGCATATTGACCATGAATCCACGGGAGTTCCGCTGGGGATTATGCGGCCATGACATGTGGAGTGCAAGTTCTCATGGGTTGGCACCATCAAGATCAGCTAATTCCCTACCCCTTGAGTGGTTAGGACCCTGGTTAGTAAAAGCTGACTTGCAAACCCTTCCCCATCCCCCATCAGGGGGAACCTTGTAAGCAATTTGTTCCATAGCCTTTCTACTTGCAGTTTAAAAGAAAAACAACACCTCCCTATTCAGGCAAGTTACAAACATTTGCTGAGGTCCACTGTACTATGCTACTGCTGGAAATACAAACATCTCAAGGACATATTTGCCCTTGAGAAGCTCAATGTTCCCAGAAACAATGAGTAAAGACAATCACAAGGTAATGAGTAAGTGCCTGAAAGAGATTAACTGTGGTGAAAATAGAAAGGGTTATCTACCCCAATGTGTGTTACTAGAGCTGAGTCTTGAACAATAAGCAGATGTCAGGACAGTTGTGAAGTAGATTCCAGGAAGAATCACAGCATAAGGACTCAGGCTCAAGAGATAAGTGATGTAAAGACCAGAGGGGTGCAAAGCAGCAGTGATGGGAGGTAAGATAAGAGCAACAGGCAGAAGGAGGCAGAGGGAGCCTTGTCTTCCGCAGCAGAGAGCTTGGGATTTTTGCCCCAGCCTCATTAGAAGAAAGAGGACAGAGCATAGCCTTTAAGTCATGGTCACTGATTGCCTCACTTGGCAGCATGTCCTTTTAGCTTCAGGCCATTTTCTGTTTATTCATGGCTCAAACCTCCTAACCTGTAACATAATAGATGACCTGTGCAGAAGTATTCTACCTCTTATCAAACCTCATCAGGTAGCAAAGATGGGGGAAGAGATGGATGGTGTTATCTGTACTCTTACCCATCTCAGGCAGTTAGCATAGACCTTGGGATTTGTCTATTTTGGTCACACGCAAAATAGCAAAATGCTTAAGAAAGCATTTCAGATGTTAAAGTAACCCACAAAAAGAAACAGGAACCGGACAATGAGAATTTAGTGGTGAGGTTTAGAGGAACATTTTTCAATTTGATGGAAAGTGGCTGACTTTCTTGGTGGGTTAGAGAGAAATCACAAGATACGGTCACCATTTTTCCTCACTAAGCTAGAAATTGGTTTTTGATTAAGAAAAACAATGTAATGGGGATTAGAAGAACTAGATAGACTTGCTATGTTTGGGGACTTTTTACTCTTTTTTTTTTTTTAGAAAATGGATGTTTAAGTTAATCTCAGAAAATGCAGAATACTTTCTTTTTGGGACAGTTTTGCTCTGTCATCCAGGCTGGAGTGCAATGGCAAGATCTCAGCTCACTGTAAACTTCGCCTCACGGTTCAAGCCATTCTCCCACCTCAGCCTCCCGAGTAGCTAGGATTACAGGCACCCACCATCATGCCTGGCTAGTTTCTTGTATTTTTATAGAGACAGGGTTTTGGGCTTTACCACGTTGGCAGGCTGATCTTGAACTCCTGACCTCAGGTGATCAGCCCACCTCAGCCTCCCAAAGTGCTGGGATTACAGGTGTGAGCCACCATGCCTGGCCCCTAATGCACTTTTTATCTTAATTGGGAATTAAACATGAGTTGGGACATTTTATCCCCAATATTTGCCCACATGGATTACCTTACGGCAAATACCCATGACTCTCCCTTAATTTTGGAAATGCTTTTTCCCCCATTTACAACCATGGTTTCTCCTTGCCTATCTAATAACACACAACTTGTTATAGTTGCTACTGAATAGAAAAAATGTTTGTTGCAGACAAATTATCATTGGTCCCAAATTTAATTTTCTAAGCTTCTCTTTGTGCAAGTTGGGATGTGTGCATGAATTTGGCAAGGGGGAAGGGAAACATCTATCAATGTTGTGGTTTTATGCTTACTGTAGAATGAGAATGCAAGTATATGATTTATAACCTGTAGCATACTTAACGCACACTTGAAATTTATTTCAGCCTTTATCTTGGATTGAGAATCACAAATCAAGGCTTTGCCCCTCCGATTCAGACTGTCAGGTTGAGCTGTCAGATTTCAGAATCGTTGGTGTGATAAATCTTCCTTTTGGCAGGAGAGGGGAATTATTTGGTAATGAAACTGGAGAGTTGGAGGGTATAAGCGTATTGTGTGCTTGCAAGTATGTGTTCTCAAGTAGTCTCACATATGCGCACAATCACCCTATGGCCTAGCAATACAGTGACAACTGATACTGTATCACCTAGTTCCAATGACTTCTTTTAACATGGCCTCCATAAAATGCTCTTACTGTTACTATGATATCTTCGCTCAGGTCTTCGTTACTTCCCTATCTTGTATTTCTCTTTCCCTCCTGCCATCTCCTTTTCCAGTTTCTTTACTATCAGCCCTTTACCTCCATTTCTGCTTCATCATGTCACTCTTCTGGAGGTCTGACTTACTTCCTGTCCCCTAATCCCATAGAGCAGAGGTACTCAACCCTGTCAGTCAATAATCACTATTTACAGCAAACATATTGAAGAATATACTTTACTCTTCTAAAATGAAACCAATGGAATAGATGACCTCCCTACAGTTTAAGAGGCAACATAAGACCTTCTATACAACATGAAAGAAATTAGTTTTTAGCTAAAAATTTCGTTACGTAAATGCTGGAGCATGACAGTATCGGAGGACATGAGAAAGTGAGATTCCTGCATATACTCTTGGAAACAGTGAATGTAAGCCATTTGCGAACGTGGACTATTTTAAGTGATGTTGGTGATGAAAATAGCAACAGTGTGGTACTAATGACACTCTTCAAAAATGAACAACTTCATAAACTGAGGACACAATTTTTCCCTTGCTTTACATAGAAAACTATTAAGAATGGTCACAAAATATTTGGCCCTGGTATGTAGAACAGATTCTGGGCTTGAATTACAATCAGGCTTTTTACTTCATGCATTTCCACTAGGACATTTGAAAGTTGTGTAAAACATGGGCCAGTTCAATGTCACTCAAGATTGCTCTACACAGTGCAGGGTAGCTGACACCTCTGGTCTCCACCTACTACTAGACACCAGTGGCAGCCCCCTCAAACTCATGAAAATCAAAAGCATTTGCCCACATTTCCAAGATATTCTCTAGGAATGTAGTACCATTTCCCTGAGAACCACTGTCCCACAGCATGAAGTCCAATCCTGCCGTATCTTACGAATCCAATCTTGTTTTTTGGGCATCCAAAGCCCTCCTCGTCCGATCCCAAGGCACTTTTCAAACTCAATCCATTGAGACTTTCTGTACTGAGACCCCTGGTACTGAGTAAGTCGGGCCTGAGGAGTAAGGAAACACGTGGGAAACTAGGTCATGGATACCTTCCACTAATCAAATTGACAAACACTGTAGTGTGTAATGTTTATGCCCACTGGTGGCGAGTGTCAGACTCCTGTAAGCCGCTCATGGGTACATAAGTTTTGTACCATTTTTCTGGAGGCCAACTTTGAGACATCAAATCTTCATTTTTCTTTCAATGTTTCTAAAATTAAAGTTATAAAAATGAGAGAAAAAGCTACTAAGACATTCATAGGCATTATTTTAAAATGGCAAATACTTTAGAAATGTTCAACTAGAGAGAAATGGTTAAATTTTAGTGCATAACTTACAAAATTAGTGCACAGACAAAATTGTGTTCCAAAGTAATTCACAAAAAGGGGTTTAACACAGCCACTATAGTAGGATACTGAAATTTTGTGCTTATACTTAAGTAGATAAAATACTTTGTGTGCTTAAAGGGTGCATAAGAGGTGCCAAAATATTTCTAGAGATAAAGCTGTAGGTGATTTTTTCTTATACGTCCCTGTAATTTGAAATTTTTCTATACTCAGTGTATGCTTGTGAAAATAACAGTATTAAAACACCTTAGTGGAGAATTGATCTAATGAAGCTATAGGTTTCCTTGAGTGCTTCATCTAGACAAAATTATCCAGGTTTCAACCATGTATACCCAAGGGATTTAACTTGTGTTCCCAAATCAAGCATTCACCCCGATGTGGTATGTTTTCACCATTTGTAAGTTATCTACATGTATTACTTTAGAAATATAGCACGTACATTTAACACATGAAGTTTTTAATCAGAATGAGTTTCCAATTTTTAAATATCAAAGTATGTTTTAATATTTTCTTCTTGTAGCATTCTTAGGGATCATGATTACACAATATTCAATTAGTTTGAAAACTATTTTCTCTCATGACGTGTTCCCAGGTACCGTGTCTAATGCCATCACTTCCTATCTCTCCCCGCTTGCTGAAATCCAGTATCTGCACTGGTTTTAAGTTGA